TTTTAAATACAAAAATATCAGTAAACGATAATATAGTTTTTTTTTTTGGTAATGAGATATGAAGCTCTACACAGATGATTTTGTTGATGAGATGTGACTAGATTTTTTCTTGGGTTTAGTTGATGGGTTAATGGATCTTGGGTTTAGAAATTTTTGGGCTATGATTGAAGAAATGCCCAAGTAAGTAGAGGAAAATTATTATATTGGATCGGTTTTTATCGGTCAATCTGAAAACCGATTCAATCCAATTAAAATTTGTGATTTTTTGATTTATTCGGTTATTGGTTTTTCGATTTTGTCACCGCGGTTTGAATATGTTTGGATCGGTTGATAAACATCCCTAATTTTGAGGTTGCTGAAAATAATTTTATTTCTGATTATAGGAAAAATATTTTTTCTTTTATTTATTTATTTGTTTATTTTCAATAGCAAAACCGTTTAAATCAACCATTAAATTGCTTACCAAAAAAAAATCAACCATTAAATTTCCACTAGGAATTAGCATTGAATTTATAGTTTTAAAAAATGAAAGCGTTAAATTGATGGATTATGGAATTTTTTCGTTTAAGTTGCATTAAAGGAATTAATTATGCTAAATGCATCTTTTCGGTGTGGTAGGGGCACGTTGTACCGTTAGGATTAGGGTGAAAGTGGGTTGGGTCAAACTATATAGACTTACTGCCTAGCTTATATCAGGCCAGACTCCACCCATTATATCAAGCCAGACTCCACCTATTATATATATATATATATATATATATATATATATATATATATATATATATATATATATATATATATATATATTTTTAAGTAAAACAGACTCGAAGTTTTAAAAAATCCTATTTAGAAAGCAGGTTATAGGCTTCTTTTTTTACATGTCGGGCCTATAAGCCTACATGTCGCCCTATATCATATTATTTATTTTAAATAAAATAAAATAATATTATTCGTAGTAATACCAAATGGTGATGGTTTAAGCTGAGTAGGTAGTGGAAGGACTTAGGTTCGATCCCCACCGATATTATCTTTGGGAGTGACATAAGATCTGTACCAATCTTTGCAGTAGCATCAGGAGGAAGAGTTATTGATGCCTATTATTCTAGCTTGCTGAAGATACAATCCAAGTTTTAATATATGGAGAAAATTGGTTACGTAATAAGTATGACTTAACGGAAAAAAAGGTATAAAAAGGTTTTTCATTTTTAATCTTTTTTTTTCTTTCTATTCTTTATTCTTGTTTTTTGTTTTTTACATTTACAAATTGTTTGCCAGCTTATGTAACCTTGGAATTGTATTTGCAGGGGAAAGAAGATAATGAAAAGTTTTTGGCTACTACAAACATCATGATGTATTTGTTGGATTCATGCAGTTATTTTAATTTACATAGTATAGATTGATTTGTTGGATCTGATAAAATATATGTTATTTAGTTTGGGCATCTTGGTTTTAAAAGTGGCTTAAATGCAGACTGTGAAAAGTTATTGTGATTCATGATTTTGTTTGAACATTGAAATTGTGATTTTTGTTTTAACAACAAAATTTGAGTATTTTGTGAAATTGATTCATGTTCTGCTTGGAAGTTAAAAATTAACATACTAACAAGTCATGGCAGGCTATTTAATTTTTTATAAATGGGCCAGACCAAGCTTCAATTAGACTTGTACTATGTTATTGGGTTAGGACAAATTAAATTTTTTTGACATAAGCTTAACCTTTTCGGGACAAAATTTGGGTGAACGCAACACACTTTCACCCCTAATTAGGATCATGAGGAGAGTAACTTCAATGTCAATTAATGTGAAAAGTTTTTCTAGAGTTCCCTTCTTGTGTAAACCAAGATAGGAAACAATTAGCATGTAATATGAATTATTCTATTTAATAATTTAAATACATATTTATTATTTAAAGCATAGAGTATTTAATTTTGTTGATTGAGTAATATTAAGAGATATTATAAAATTATTAGTGTACTTTCTCTAACATCTTAAGCTTTTAAATTGAATTGATTGTTTAATATAGTTTTAGAGAGGGGCGAATCGAAGGAGGAATGAGCATTAGCAGTCGTCTCTCCATAAACTTTGATTATTTTATTATTATTATATGAGTTTGGTGTTTGTCATTTTAAATGACATAAGTTATGTCATTTTAGGAGAGAGATAGACACAGAAAAACAGAAATTATGAGAGAGAGAAAGTGGGTGGTTTTTTTTAATTTAAAATTCAAATTTTCTGTGTCTGTATCTCTCTTAAAATGACATAACTTTCTGTCATTTAAAATGACAAACACTTTTTCTTAATGCTAATAATTAATCCCTCCCAAAAATATACTTTTACTAGTTAGTTCATCTTATTATTTTTAATAACATTTATAAATTTAATATTTTATTTTATTTCCATCACATCACAAAATATTATGGGTCTGCCACCCGTCTTAGAACTTATAAACACACCATCTAGTATATGATTCTTGATATTTTATGGGGTTTATACTTCTTATGTCACATAAAATGAGAATTTTTGCAACACACACATATTTAGGTGAGTCCCATTGGAAAAAAGTAAATAAAAAATTAAAAATATTGGCACATAAAACGATGTGAGTGTAGCATAAGAAAGCTATTCTTATGTTGCATAAGAAGTATAAATACCATATTTTATTTAGGGAAAGTATGTTCTCATATTAGAGGAGAGTTATTCTTTCCTATCAATGATCCTTCAATTTTCATATAATATTTTCTTTTATTTATTTGTTTCCTCTTAACTATTTAAGTTTTTTGGGAGATTTGATTAGGTAACACGTGAGTTAATACTTAATAGCATTCAACTTGAGATCTGATGTTCGCAACTCCTCCTGTTTTTTTTGGTATAAACGACCGTACTAATACAATTTTTTTTTTTAAATGTCTGTTTTATAGGGAAAAATTTTTAGTGTTCCCTGTCTCATATGATCTTTCCATTGAATGAATAACACTTGTGTATTTTTTTTTATTTTTTTACTCTCTTCTCTCCCTTTTCTCCTGAATAGATGTCACATTTTCATTGATTTAGACTTTAGACCACTGAAAATAAATTGATGCTCCACAACCACCAAAAGTCTTCTCGTTTTATAGAGCTGGAGGATTTAGTCCCGCACATAAAAAAATGCAAGACAATGCATCGTGCTATGTGACGCAAAGTAAAGAATTTGAGGGAAGCACTATTTGGTTCTGAAGTAAAGTAAAAAATAACTCTTGTACCAAAAAAAAAGAAAAAGAAAAAAAACTCATATTATAAAAAAGAAAAAATATTTGTCATTTTAAATTACATAAACTTATGTCATTTTAAGAAAGAGATAAACACAAAAAAACCCAAAATTGCCATGGAACCTGGAACCAAGCAAAAATGGTTGTTGTCTGGCTCCTTTTGTTACAGGCAAATCTAATAGTTGAAAAGCAATTTTACTGTATCCAAAAAAAAAAAAAAAAAAAAAAAAAAAGCAATTTTACTAATTTGAATGAAGGACTCGGATTATGCCCAGTTGATTTTTCTTCGTTTTTGTAAAGCAAATTTGTTAGAAAAATATAATATTGAAAATTATTAATTCACCTTTATTTAACAACTTAAATTTTTGAATTAGAAATAATTTATTATATAATATTAAAACTTTCGTTATCAAGTGGTCAGAAATTTTGACAAATGTTATCGCAAAATCACTTCTCCTGCACAGCAAATGTGACTTCTCTTGTTCCACGCACTTCAATTTCCACACTTTACTGTCTCTTTTTTCTTCCTAACTTGAGGTGAACCCCGCCATTATTATGTCTGCGGGAACGGCGCCACTTCTTCTATGACAGAAGAAGAAGTGTAAAGCCCGTTTGTTATTAGATATTTATGCTTAATTTTTCTGCCAGTATAGCATTCCAGGGCAAAGCCTTCATTTCTCTTTTGTGAGTCTCATTGCCTTTGTTATGCGAGATTTATCTGCTTATGCCAGGTCACGTCATTCACTTAGTGACCTGGCATTCACTTAGTCTTGCACCTTTTGTCACTCATATACGGGATTTATTGTATTAAATTAAAAAATAATTTCAAAAGTATATTAAATTGATACTTTTTTAAAATATATATATATTTTAAGTTATTTTTTTATTTTTAGTTAATAAAATAAAATTAAGAAGTAAAAAAAAAAAAACGTGTCGGATGCGTGTCGAAAAAAGTTGACTGCGTGTCGGAGGAAAAAATTTATTATGATCCCAGTATTTGTTCTCATTCCAATAAGAATGCAACACTTGTATTTAATTTTTAGTTTTCTTTTTTTCTTTTTTTCTCTCTCCAACTTTTTCTTTCTTCCTCTCTCTTCAGGCCCACCCAATAAAAAATGCTCCTGGAGCACTACATTTCCGCTCGTGTCAGAGCGTGTCGGTGTCCGACACGCACAATTTAAAAAAAAAAATGAGTCGGTGCTTTAGAGGGTATTGTTACAACCACTTAGTGTTACTACCAATCAATTTCACCGTTAGATCGATTATGTTGATCCAACAGTTATATTTATTTTCATCTTTGTATGATTATGATTTATCATATTTAATACTTTATATTTATTTTTATCTTTGAATGGTTATGATTCTCCATATCTACTGCTTTCACATTAAATGTGAGGAATCATAACCATACAAAGATGGAAATAAATATAATCGTTAGATCAACATAATCGATCTAACGATAAAATTAATTGGTAGTAACATTGATAGTAACACTAATTGATTATTACAATATCCTACCTCATAAAAAAAAAGACAAAAACTTATATATGAAAAACATTGTTTCACTTAAAAATATAATTCCATATCTTCTTCTTTCTCTTCTCAATTCTTCCGCACTGAAAAAATCAATTGATCGTAAAGAGTTTAAGGTGTTGAGTGGCGCAGAGAATGAATGAATCATCCACCATTTCACATAGCGAAGAACTCATTGAAGATCTTTTCAAATGTTGGAAAGATCCATAGCGTGGTGTAGTTTATGGTGGTATGATCAGGGAGCTTTTACTCTCATTTAAGAGGGCACCTGGTCAAAAACCATTGTGAATAATCTTTTACAAGGATGGGGTAAGTGACAGTCAGTTCTACCAGGTTTTGCTGTATGCGCTTGATGCCATCCTTAAGGCTTGTGCATCCTTGGAACCTAGTTACCAACCTCCAGTAACATTTGTCGTGGTTCAAAAATGGCATCACACTATACTCTTCTCAAATAATCCCAATGACAGAAACAACACTAATAAGAGTGGGAATATCTTACCTGGTACTGTGGTGGATTCTAAGATATGTAATATTGTTGGAGATGAGGTATCTGTCATTGCACCCAACACTCCATCCCTTTATGAAGCTCATTTCGGGATTCCAATGGCAGGAGCTGTACTGAACACTGTTAATATTCGGTTAAATGCATCAACAGTAGCTTTCCTTCTTCGTTATTGTTCAGCAGCAGTTGTAATCATGGATCAATAGTTCTTTTCCTTGGCAGAAGAAGCTTTGCAAATCTGGTATGAGAAAAGCAAAGGCTTTAAGCCTCCAATTTTAATTGTCATTGGTGATGAGAACTGCAAACCTAATGAACTCAGATATGCTTTGGCCAAAAGAGCCATTGAATATGAGAAATTTCTTGAAAGTGGTGACCCTAAATATAAATGGAAACCTCCAGAGGATGAGTGGCAGAGCATTGCTTTGGGTTACACATCTGGTACCACTGCTAGTCCTAAGGGCGTGGTATTACACCACCGAGGGGCATATCTAATGTCTCTAAGTGGAGCTCTTATTTGGGGAATGCAGGAAGGTGCTGTGTATCTGTGGACGTTACCCATGTTTCTTTGCAATGGCTGGTGCTATACTTGGACACTTGCAGCTCTCTGTGGGACAAACATTTGTCTTCGTCAGGTAACAGCAAAGGCAACTGCATTTGGGATGTCATGTATTTTTATCTTTGACCCTGATATTGTTATAACTCAACCTCAAGGACGAGGTTGGTCTGAAGGAGGATGGAATGTAACGATAATGGAATATAACGGTAATGAGTATATCTCAATAACTAGTACTTATAGCAGTGCTCCTATAACAGTGTCCTTATTTTAATTCCTTAATTGTAATAGTGTTTTCTATTGTAACAACCTTCATGGTTATAAGTAGGTGTGTGACTCTTAGGAAATGATATCAGAAAATTGTTGGAATTTCTCTTCTCTCTCTCGTGACTCTTTCTCTCTCAATTCCCTCTTCTCCTCTTCTTATCCTTTCTGCATTTCTTTTCTCCTATAACAACCGTTACATAGCACACCTCTGTAGTGACTGTTACTGATCTTTGTTTATTTCTTTAATAAATTGTTTAATTCGTGCTGCTATTTATGAGAATGGTGCAGATTGAATTGCCTTTGGTGTAAATCGGAGGATTATGATTTCGGTTACGTGTCAGAGATCCTGCATGCCTGTAGTTACTCGCCGGAAGGACACCTTGAAAGCTTCGACGCCGAATTCAACCGCCTCCGAGAAATCTAAGAGTGAGAGAGATCAAACCATTGCCACGTTTGAGAATTTCAATGCTACAGATGTGTCGTATGGATCATTCAATATATTTTTTATTAAATATAAAAAAAAATTATATTATTCTTTTTTTATAATTATTTTATCATAGTAATATTTCTGCAGTTAATACAGATAAGTTATCTGTGTTTCTTCTTAAAATAACATCGTTTTGAGATTGAAAAATTAAATTATTATAATTATAAATACAATAATAACCCTGAAATAAATTAAAATTACAAAAATACCATAATTTTCGTCCTAAAATAATGTTGTATTAAGTTTAATGCAGATAACTTATCTTCCGTAACTGCAGAAAAGCGAACCTTAATTTTATTTTATATTCCTATATTTATCTTTTTAATAAGAAAGTATCTAATGCATGCGGGAATGGATCATCTTATGAAAAAGTGGTCTTGTTATTGATCACAATCACTCATTTAAAAATTATACATTTTTCTCTCTCTTATCTCATCATCAATAAGTGATTATGATTAAATAACATGATCATTTTTTCACATAAGAAAATCAATTCTAATCTAATGTTGTTGTACCAAAAAGATGCCGGCATAGAAGAGTGTTTTTTAAATGAAATATTGTCTTTTCACTGTAATAACACAATATTTTATCATTTATAATAACAAATATGTGTCTCTTATTAAATTTATTCTCAAAACAAAATGTATCTTCTTTTATACTTAATAATTCTCAATAAGAGTTAATAGATTATGAAGATAGTTATATATATTTATAAATTTTTTATTTACAAACTACATTCAGTATGAGTTGTTATATTTCAATCAAAAGTGTATGATCAGTCATACTTAATAGAATTTGTAAAAAAAAAATTGTAAACAAATGCTTTCCTGTAGATTATCATTATAATGCATGTCTTAGGATACACACATATATATTTATATATATAGGACTTTATTAATCTCCTTTTGCATAAGATACTTATATTATGTTGTAGAGAGAAAATGGATGTGTCCCATAATTAAAAGAAAAAAGAAAAAAAGAAAAAGGTAGAGTACCAAAATCGAAGTGAGAGAACATGAGAAAAGTTATTTTATGTAAAAGAAGAGTAATATTTTCCATATATATATATATATATATATATATATTATCACGCACACCGTTTGTTTTTCTTTGACAACCATGAACCATCCATCAAAAGAATTGATAGATTTTGTTTTAGTAAAATTTAACTTTGTGACCAATAATATCTATTTATCTTTTTTCATAACATGTTTGTAACGTCATGCATCGACTCGATCCAATACCTTTTATTATATCAATGCAGTGAGAAAATTAAATACAATTAATACATCCAATACCTTGCATGTCTTAGGACATCCTAAGCTTTTGGTTGGTATATTAATCAAGAATTATGAAGACTACGACTTTGGACAGGTAAACGCTACAATTTCTGCCCTATAAACTGGATTTTAGCATATAAGATGTCGTTAAAGGAAAAACTAGGAATAATGTACTTATCCATAAATTCTAAAATTTTGATATACTAAAGTAGACATCTTGAGGTTTTCAAGATATACTATTTGAATAAACATAACTCAAGATATGATTTTACGAAATTTACTGCTCAAAATTAGATTTTACAACCACAACATCCAACTTCACCGAATTACTGGGAACAAAGTTTCCACTAAAAAATTATAAAAATTTTCAGAATTAAAGATAATCCAATTAGTTTTCTGATAATGAAAAGTTCAGCATATTAGGACTCATATAACTCAACTTATGCAGTTATTAAAACAGTTATTAAAAATAGAATTGTTGTCGTCTAGACATTTGACTTGCAGGAATTTCTGGAAATATAAGACAACTGAAAATCCTTAAAATTTTCAAATTTGGAGGGCTTTAAGTTAGCTTTACATAGTCATAAATTTCATATAATTTAGACTTCTATATCTTAAGTTATTGTCAAAAGAGTGTAGACTGTAGAGATATTACCTAATAACCCAAAAAGAAACATCTATTTGCTCAAAATCCAAGTTTACAATTATGTTTGGAGTTACACATAGCTCCATGATTTAATATTTGTATAAAACGTATCAAAAACATAGTTTATATTCATCATTCATGCCTATAACTTACATAACACGACATTACATTTCAATTGTATACATAAATTCATACTCTCTATATAATATACCAAGAGTTAACATTCAATATGCAATAACATTGGTTGCAGTCTATTTAATCGCAAATAGTCAACGACATGATTTTCAAGCCTACTTTATTATGTGCCAAATCTCATACAAGGTACAAATAATCTCCTTAGCTTACATCTCTTCATAGCATAAAGTTTTACATTCAAGGAGAAAGTACGCATCCAAAACAATTTCAACAATAATTAGAGCACAAAATAACTAAACATTTAGCTTCCTTTTTCTCTTGAGGTAGTCACCATTTCATTTGCTCCTGAAAAACAAATCCCATAAAGGAGTGAAATATGCTTCTGAGTAAGCCACTAAGAAGTCCCTATATACTTGGCCCTCAGCCAACAAGTCTAGGGACATCTTTGCAATAACCCGCACCATGGTTAGTTAAAACAAACATGATTCACTTTATTCATGAATGCAAGGACAACCATGATTATTACGATGTTAAAAGTGCATAAAAAAGTGAATAAACATAAACTAAATTTGATAAAAAAGAAACTTTGTTTTCAGTTATAATTATCAAAAGAACAAAATATTGAACTCCTACAATAGAGGTTTTAAACAACACCCTTTTATAGATCAATTACAAGTCAATTCAAAATTCAAAATATTAAAAATGAAAAAATTCCTAAAGATAAACATAAATACTAAAACCAAGGAAAGAATATAAAAAATTATAATTGACTACAAATCAATAATCATTAAACAAAACTAAAGTAAGAAACAAATAAAAAAAATGCGCCTAAATCCCAAAACAATGTACATGCATATGCATGATTCTAAATCACTATACCCTGCTAGAAAAATATTCGTCTTTGAATATACTTCAACTTCATTGATGGTAGCTAAAAGTGGGCAGAACCCATGACACAATATTTGCTTAAATGAATCAAATGCTTCCTCATTACAAAAATTCTGCACAATACCAAATATAATAAAAGTCCACATATCACTTGAGGCTAACACCATCATCTATAATCATCAACCTGAAGATCTCAAGACCACCATTGTTTGTTCATTCTTACGTGAAAACCCATATTTCATATTATTTTGAGTTACCACCTAAGAATCCATAATAACGATCTTAAAATTATATTTCACCAAACTAAATGAAGAATTCAATGCCTTATTTGCAAGGCCCTATTGAGCAAGCCAAAAAGACATCATTTAGAGCTACTAAGTCTTTCACAACCATCCCATTAAACACCTTACATGCATCCTCAACTTTAGCGCATAAAGATTTGATCAACAACATGACCACAAGCTTTGAGAACATATAGAATCACGAATATGTTGTTGGACTTCAACCCTTAAGTTGTTTGCATCTCATAGAACATGATAAAAGCGCATTCTTCACACTCTGGTTCTCCATCAAAGTCGTCAAAGACTGGATCACCAACATAATCTTGCTCTCCATCAAAATCATCATAGATTGGATCATTGTCTGTTCTTCATCGAAATCAACATAGATTTGATCATCATCACAATCTCATTCTCCATCGAAGTCATCATATATGAGACTATCATCATAAACTAAAGTTTTAGAAAATCTCAATCGTCATCTCACTATCTTAAAAAATGGACTGATTTCTAGGCCATACTCCTAATGTTGTCCCCAATTTAGAATCCTTAAATGATTGAGTGATTGGTGTCCCCCTCTTCATTATTAGATGCGTCCTCTGATTCCAATTCTTATTTGGATTGAATGTCCAACTTTGTCTATGCAAGTTGTCGCTCCAAATCTAGGATTCACTTTCTCTGCACTTCCATAATTGTCACTCTAAATCTTGATTTTTGCCTTTCGATATCTTCATTTCCAATGTCCTGCAGGTCTTCCCAACACGGTTATCCGTCATCTTATCCACGTCTCATGACATCATGTTTCCACCATCCACGACCTCCACAATTATGTTCAGTCATTGGTTGAAAACAACCTAGTGCTCTTATACCTAATGATGTTAGAAGCACATAAAAAAGTGACTAAACAAAAGAAATTGGATTTCGTAAAAGAAAAACTCTTCATCCTCAATTATAATTATCAAAATAAAAAAATATTCAACTTCCACAATAAGGGCCTTAAGCACTCTTTAATAGACCAATTACAGGTCAATTCAAACTTTAAAATCTTAAAAATAATAAAAATTTCTAAAGATAAACATAAATACTAAAAACAATAAAATAATATAAAAAATTATAGCTGACTACAAATCAATCAACATTAAATACAACTAAAGTAAGGAAACAATTAAAAAACAACGTATGCATACATTACATGCACAATTCTAAGTGCATCAAATTACCATTTGATTACTTAACGCGATTCATACAAAATTCATTATCTATAGTTATAGTAAACTTATCAATCCATTGTATTACTTATTCCTACCATCATTTACATATGTGGCAAACAATAACATCATCATACCATTAGTTGCACTCATGGAAAACATTACATTCCATCAATTGCATTCATGGAAATCGTCAATAATTTGTTGCACAACATTACTATACTATAATTTGCATCCATAACAAACATTGTTTTCCATCATATTGGGCCTCGATTGTCTACTATTCTATGTGTTGAACTCAAACACCGATGGATGTCCCCATCATTTTAGACAATCATTCATTCATCGTGCATGTAGCACCAAGGTCACCTTATTTTATAAGAATCATGTCTCTTTCATTCTTTTTCTCAATTACCATGTATGTGTATGTGTGTGTGTGTGTGAAAGGTTATATTTACAAACTCTTATAAACTCAACTATATATTTTTGGGAATAGACTCAG